CCCCATGCACTTGTGTGCATCCTGGGACTCCAAGCTTACCGGAGCTTGACCTTGCATACTTGCAACACGTGTGATATAGTTGCTCTTAGGCTTGTAGGTAATGATGACATCAAATGTAACCAGTCAGTAGCCATCAAATATTCTGCTTCTGTTGTTCCCACTGGCAAACCCCATATTAGTTCTGAACTATCAGACATCAAGGCCTGGCACGTTGAGGAGTGATTCCCTGTCAGACCTTGTCCTTATTAAATAAGCATGCATCCAAATCCTGAGTGAGGGGACTGGAGAGATAGCTCAGTAGAATGAGCACTTGCCTGGCAAGTACAGATTCCTGAGTTCAATTCCCAGTACCACAAAAAAAAAAAAGGAAAAAAAATCCTGAGTGACATTTGGTGGTTTTGTTTGCTGTAATAACAGGTAGTTTGTTGATGCCAGTTGTCCTCCTCCCAGGTTTTATTTTGTGACCCTGAAGCTAAGAAGCTGATAATGACCCTGAAGAAAACTCTGGTCACTTCCAGACTGCCCATCATTATCTGCTATGAAGATGCCAAGCCTGGTCTGCAGACACATGGCACCATCCTCAGGGTCAAGGACTACGGCTGCATCGTGAAGTTTTACAACGATGTCCAGGGCCTGGTGCCCAGACACGAGCTCAGTGCCCAGTACATTCCTGACCCAGAGAACGTCTTCTACGCTGGCCAGGTAATCCTTTCACTGGACAAGCCTCTCCCCATTGGCAACCCAACAAAGACTTGAGAGAGTAGCAGCTGGGAGCTGCCTTGTTTAAGAGAAGGAGGAATCTAGCAGGGATGTGCCTGCCGTCCCATAATGCAGTGGGCCTCAAGCAGAGAAACGTGATGGAGATGGCTGAGAGAGCAGAAAAGCCCTTGCTGGCAAGCTAGTGGATGTAGGTGCACAGCCTGAATGGAAGCATCATTAGCTCCAGTGAACCTTGTGCCTCGCATCAGAAATCGCCGAGACCACTGTGTGGTGATGAGACTTTCATGCCTAAAACAAGTGAATCTGTTCATCTAGGACAAATCCTTAGAAGTTCTTTTAGTATGCATTTGTAGTATATACTGATTATATTCGTCACGGGGAGCTGCTGCATGTACATAACACCTCTTAATTCTTTTTACACCCACTTCTCTCCTTCCCCTAATTTATTTATTTATTTATTTATTTTTTGTATATCAGGAATTGAACTCAGAATGCTACACTTAGCAGGCAGGCACCAAGCCACTAAGCTGTATCCCTGGCCTCAACTCATTTTTTGTTTTTGATTGTTTTTTTCTTTTGGCAGAACCGGGGATTGAACTCAGGCCCTTGCGCTTGCCAGAGAAGCACTTATTCTACTGAGCCATCTCCCTGGCCCCCCATAATTTTTTGTTGTTTTTTGGTTTTTGTTTTTTCAGACTGGGTCTTGCTGTGCAGATCAGGCTGGCCTTGAGCTCACTTTGTAGCCCAGCCTGGTCTCAAACTTGAAATAATGCTCCTGCCTCAGCTTCCTGAGTGCTGGGATTACAGGTGTGTGCCACCACACCCAGCTCTAAACTAATTTTTCAAAACTTGAGCTCCTGCGAAAATAATTACTCATATCTTCCTTTTCTTCAGAAGACTGGCTGGGGGTTCAGTGGAGGGTCTCCACTTCTGTCCACTGGCTCCCATGCTGACATAGGATCTCGGAACCTTCCTCTGGGCCCCATGATGCTGGGGCGCTGCACATTTCCAGGTGTGTGCAGCTACTGCTGTCGGCGGTGACCACGCTGCTGTGGTTTCTTGCCAGGTGGTGAAGGTTGCTGTACTGAACTGTGAGCCTGCCAAAGAAAGGATGCTCTTATCCTTCAAGCTGCTGAGTGATCGAGAGCCAAAGAACGAGGTTGCAGGACATGCTCAGAAGAGTGAAAAAGGCGTCAGTGTTGGGCAGGTACCTAGACTCCTCCATGAAGGCACCCTGCCTTACAGTTACAGAGCAGTGTGCCACAGACATGCACAGTGGAGTCCTGGAGTCTGAAGGGGGAAGAGTAGAGGTAGCTTCGTCAGATTCGGGGCTGGCTGGGGTCCTGAGATAGGACCTCACATACATTCTCTCCATGTGCCAAATCCCGAAAGGAGAGTTCTGTGCTGGTGTGGTATGGTCCGGTCCGGTCGGGTGCGGTCCAGTCCAGTCAGTGTGGTGGTCAGCACAGTGCTGCTGCCTCTCTGGTGCTTGGCCAGAGCACCAGCAAAGAGGCTCGGGGACCCAGTGAGTCCTGGTGAGGGCTGTCGGGCAGGGCAAGCTGCCGCTCCGCTTGTGGCTTCTCAAGGATCCCACTGTGGGGTTTGGTGCCTCAGTTCCCCTGTTGCAGACTAGATCGCTGCTGGTACAAGAACAGGTGTTTGTGTTTGTGTGTCCTGAGCAGTTGGTGGACGTGAAGGTTTTAGAGAAGACCAAAGATGGGCTGCAGGTGGCCGTCCTGCCGCACAACATCCCTGCCTTCCTCCCCACGCCTCACCTGTCCGACCACGTCGCCAATGGCCCACTCTTGTACCGCTGGCTCCAGGCAGGTGACACACTTCACCGCGTGCTGTGTCTGAGCCAGAGCGAGAGACAGGTTGTATCCTTGATAGCATCTGTGGGGCTGGGACACAGGCGGCTGTGGGCCTTCGGTGCGGCGAGGGCTTCTGTGCCAAATCGCTTTTGGTTGGAAACAGTGTGGGAAGAAAATGAGCCATCTGACCTCAGAAATGCCCCCATGAGAGCCCGCAGGACTGAGCCCGAGTGGAGAGGAGGGGGAGGCCCGAAGGAATGCAGCAGCAGGGGTGGCAGTCGGGCGGAGAGCCAGGGAGGCCTCGGGAGCTCAGGGTCTGGGACCAGGGAGCAGCCGGGTGGCACCAGTGTGGATGGCGGGTGTGCCCAGCTGGTGGCATTCGTGTGGAAAGAGACAGTTAATAAGGTGGCTGCTGTCCTTCCTCCCACCTTTTATTCAGAAGACTTGTGCAGATTCTGCACTGTGTCCTGCCCACTCGGGTGTGGGACTCAGACCCGAGAGCAGGGTGTTCTAATCCTGTTCAGGTCAAGCTGGCATGGCTGGGAGAGGGGAAGTGAAGCAAGTGCAGGCTGCTCCTCCTGCCCCTGGGGAAGGCGCATGTTCTTCCTCGGCCCCCTTGGTATTTGTGTGGGTGCTCTGAAGGAGAACACTACTGTGTAATCATAAAATGAGATCTCCATACAGTGGCAGAGGGAAACCAGGGCTGTGGCACACATGGGGTGGCAGAGGGTTGTGCAGTGGGTGACTCCGCTGCCCTTGGGCCAGCCATCCCCTGCAGCTACTTCCAGTGACAGTTGCTAGTGTCAGGAGGTGCCCTGCCCCCCAGTCATGCTGAAACCGGTGGCCCAAGCTGCCCAGAGGTGCTATTCAGCAACCAGCTTGGTCTGTCCTACAGAGTCTGGCTTCTCCTGAGCCCTGGATGGTGGTGATGGTGGCTGCACGAAGACTCAGGGTGGAAAGTGGAGAGATGGACATTGTCTGTCCTTTCCGGAACATTCCTTGATAAAGTGCCATTAGCTCCTCAGCAGGAAGCCAGCTTTGGTTTCCACAGTAGAAGGTGGCCAGGATCCCAAGAACTTCTCTGAAGTCCAGCCTGGAATGCTGCTCGTGGGCTTTGTGAAGAGCATCACGGACTACGGCGTGTTCGTCCAGTTCCCCTCGGCTCTGAGTGGACTGGCCCCCAAGGCGGTGAGCGCACCCCGTGCACAAGGCCTCAGGCTCCTGGGAGCTGGGGGGCGGGAAGGGGCTTCCGATCCCTATCAGGGCTAGCTGGTGTAGCTGGGAGAGGGGAAGTGAACCCAAGTGCAGGCTGCTCCTCCTGCCCCTGGGGGAAGGTGCGTGTTCTTCCCGTGGCAGCTTGGACTGTGGCAGCAGTCAGTGTTTTGTGGGAAGACAGCTGAGCTGTGTTGTAGGCATGTCTGTGCTGGGAAGTGGCTTTTTCTTGAGCAGCCCAGCTTAGGTTTTACAATCTTTGAGGGTTTTCAAAGCACCAGAATGTCCTTGAAATTATCCTCTGCCATGTCTTTGAGTTGTAAACATTTTAGATGTGAAGGGACCCTAGCAGTCCCATAGTTGGAGGCCTCTTGCAAAGTAAGTGGAGACCTTGATGGAGACCTTGACTGGAGTCAGTGGAAGCCAACACTGAGTCCATACCACAGAGCTAATCCTGCCACAGAGCGTTCCAAGTGCTGCTTCCCTTCATGGGTCTGGCGCCCTGTGTCTTGCCAGGGAAAGTCTTCTTGCATTTCCTGCCTGGACAACTTTAAGTGGGAGTGAGGGGGAGGACCCCAGAGGGTGCACAGAAGGGCAGAGGGCTGTCCCTGGATGCAGAGGGGGATGGCTTGCTGTGCCTTGTCCAGGTGTCCCTAGGTGTCTGGATTGCCCAGTAGGACCCTGCCTGGGTTCCTCTGGAAGAACAGAGCTTTGCTGTGCATGGGTGAGCTTTCTGGGTCGCTTTGGTCTCTGCCACTGTCGTCATTTCTGGGGACACAAAGTGGCTTATCTTAATGCACTGCCTTCCCTTTCCCCATGTTTTTCATCTTCTTCAGATCATGAGTGACAAGTTTGTGACAAACCCAAGTGACCACTTTGTTGTGGGGCAGACGGTGGTGGCGAAGGTGACCAGGGTGGATGAAGAGAAGCAGCGGATGCTGCTGTCACTGCGGCTTTCAGATTGTAGGCTGGGGGCCGCCAGCAGCAGCAGCCTGCTCCTCCTGAGTCAGTGCCTGGAGGAGCTGCAGGGTGTGCGCAGCCTCCTGAGCAGCCAAGGTAGGAGCTGGGTGAGGCGGGGCGCCTGTGTTGTAACCATACTACTGTCAGGGTGAGCTGTTGGGCTTCCAGTAATGATTTTTGTGTGGCAGCATTTTGTGTGTGCCTCCATGAGGCAGGTGGGGGGGGTCTTGCTTTGTTGCCCAAGCTCGCCCTGAATTCCTGGCTCAGGTGACCCCTCTGCTGCAGCCTTCCCAGGAGCTGCGGCTGCAGGTGCACACCATCACACCTGGTTTGCGAAGTTTTTTTGTATATAGTACTGGGAGTTGAACCTTTTTGCATTGAGCTATCGCCTACCCTTTTCATTTTTTAATTTTGAGATGTTCTCTTACGTTTCCCAGGCTGAGGTCAAACTTGCAACTCTCCTTCCTTGCCTCCCAAAGTGTAGGGCTCACCGCTGTGTGCCCCTGCATCTGGCATCACAAACTTATTTTTTGGTTTGTGATCTACATAAACAGATCATTACGTAGAAGCCAGGTAATTGTTTATGAAATGAAAACCCAGTCAGCACCCAGAGAAGAAGGTCATTACCACAGCTCAGAAGGCCCCTTAGAAGCAGAGGTGCGTTAGTTTGCCTTGTAGCCTCGGGCTGTGTCTTAGCTTTGCTCGCTCTTCTCTTTTCATTCCTCCTTTCAGCAGGTAAGTAGCAGGAGATAAAATAATGAGTGTGTGAAGGGCTGTTGCCCTGTTGCTGTGGGACTTGGGACCTTCTGTGTGGTTGTTGGAACTTTGATGGTGTTTGTGAAAACGAGGCCTGAGTGTAGAAAAAAAATGTAGAGACAAAAGCAAAACTTGTGTTCCTGATACTTGTTTTCTCTGTTTCATTTTCTTTCGATGCATTTTGAGACAGGGTCACTCTGAGTTCAGGCTGGCCTTGAACTCACTGTACAACCCAGGCTGGCCTGGTGCTTGCAGTGACCCTCCTGCCTCAGCCTATCAAATGCTAGGATTACAAATGTGTGCCACCTGGGCACGTCCCTGGTGTTTACATGCTACTTTCATAAATTACTGCTAGGTAGCGTTAGCAAGGGCGCAGGTCTCCCTGCCTCTGAAGGCGCTGAGGCAGGAGGATCTTAAGAGTGTGCCCACCTGAGCTGCCCCGGGAGGCCCTGTCTCAAAAGAGCGTTCAAGGTGTAGGGCACTCGCACCCAGAGCATAAGCTCACTTGTCAGTGGTCAGTCATCCGTGCTTATTGTGGCAACGGCATGTTTTCAGAAGAAACGGTCAGTGAGTGCCGTCACCAACCCTGTGCTCACTTCCCTTGGGTCTGCCGCAGACTCTGTGCTGGTCCAGATGCTGGCCAAGATAACCCCAGGGACGGTCCTGGACCTGGTGGTGCAGGAGGTGTTGGAAGATGGCTCTGTGGCATTCAGCGGGGGTCCAGAGCCCACCCTGGTCCTGAGAGCCAGCAGATACCATCGTGCAGGTGGGTGCTTGCGTCCTGCTGGGAGTCCTGCTTTGCTGGGGAGGCACTGCCCGCCGCTCCCTCTGCTGGGTATGTCATGTTCGGTGCACAGGTCCTACCGAGCTTTCGCACACCTGTCTCCTGTGACTGAACCAAGACGATGGACAGCACACTAGTGAAGGTTTAGGGAGGAATGCTTTTTTGCAGTTTATATGTTGGCCCGTATAAAAGAGGCCCTGCCTGCAGCCTGGTTTCCCCCGCCATGGCGAGGCAGTTCTTTGTGCTTGGGGGTCTGTGGGATCCAGGGAGCACCGTGCTGGCCTGCTTCCCCCTGCTGCACGAGCGTGACCCACGTGTCTGGTGCTGCACCGCAGGGCAGGATGTCGAATCTGGACAGAGGAAGAAGGCCATCGTCCTTCATGTCGACATGTTGAAATTGGAGGTACACGTTTCCCTTCGCAAGGAGTTGGTGACTAGGAAAGCTCGGAAGGTAAGCTTGCTGGTCCTTCAGTGTCCCGCACTTTCACGTCTGTCCTTGCACACTACCACGACTTGGCTCCCTTCCAGCAGCCCTTGACAGGGAGGTTGCCTGGAATGTGTGTGACTGTCCTTCCTACACACCTTGGCCTGGTTCAGGGGTGCAGCAGATAGTCGCCCTGCAAGGGCCAGGCAGGGTGCGTGGCTGTGTGGGTTCAGGTGTGGCAGCTGAGACAGACACCCTGGAGAGCAGAGCGCCCCTGTGGAGGGAGCAGAGGCTATCCCACCTGCTTGTGTCTCGGTAGGGGTCGCTAGGGCTTTGAGGTTGGTTTTTTATTTGAAATATATGATGTAGAAAATGGAAATTAATTTGATTTTTAAAATCCTGTGAATCTAGCAAAACAGGTCTGTGGTTAGTTCTGATCTGTAAGCTGTACGCCCACACCATCTTTTGCCATACATTTTGGGGTGACCTGAGTGAGCTTTGGGGGAAGTCCCGGAATTAGTGTTTTTCACCTTGTGTGGTGGTCCTTACATGAAATCCTAACATTTGAGAACAGAGGCAGGAGAATCCCCCACCGTGAGTTCAAGGCTAACCTGGGCTACATGAGTTAAGGCTAACCTGAACTACAATAGTAAGAGCCTGTATGAAAATGGAGGGCCAGCCAAATAGTGTAGCAGATGAAAGCGCCTGCAAGCAGGCGTCGGGGTCAGGGGTTCAATCCCCAGGCCTGCCATGCCAGCCCTGCTCCCGGGGCATGCTGAGATAGCAATTGAGACTAGGCGTGGTGGCATGTGCCTATAATCCCAGCTCTTGGGAGGCTGTAAACAGGCAGGTGGATCACTACGAGTCCAACGTAGTAGTGAGACCCTGAACACCCTGCAGACCCTTCCCTAGAATATAAAAAGAAAATGGAAAAAAAAAAACCCTAGATTTTTCTCTGGTGATAAATATGTAGGTGGAGTTAGTCTTTCTCATCTGAGACAGAGTCTCAGTCATTGCCCTGGTAGGCTCAGACTAATGATCCTCTTGCCTCAACCTCACAAAGTGTTGTAGTTGTAGGTTTGAGCTACTGTACCTGCACCTGACAGTTTTATATTTTTGAGATTTTTTTTTTTTTTTTTTTTTTTTTTTGTGGAGCCGGGGATTGAACTCAGACCCTTGCGCTTGCCAGGCAAGCGCTTATTCAACTGAGCTATCTCCCCGACCCCAGTCTTTCTCATTTGTTTTGCGACAGGCCTTCTTAGGTTAACTCGGCTGGCTGGGCACGTGTGATCCGCCTGCCTCAGCTTGCCGAGCGCTGGGATTATAGGCACAGGGCGCCACGTGCAGCTTTTGTTAGTTTTTATTATCACTACTTAACCAGAAATGTGTCAGATTTTGGCATTTTCCGTAGTTTGAAATATTTGTATCAGTTTTACTGATTTATATCACTAATCCAAAAAAATTCCAAAATCTGAGAGGCTCCAAAGCCAGGAACTTTGAGTGTCAATATGGGTTTCAATAAAATTTGGGTTTTAGAGCATTGTGGATTTGAGTTTTTAGATTAAGAGCATTCAACATCTTGTATTTGCCCATCTAAATACAACCTGTACTTTTCCTTTAAGGTTACTGGTGCGTGTAGATACACATTGACATACTCGGGAATGGTGCCTGTACGTGGTGGTTCTCTTTCCCACCCACCCCCTCCCCCTCCCTTCTGCCCCTCTTGCCCTTACAACCTGTGTTTGTACTCACTGGAATGTCATGGGGTGTGCTGCAAGGAATTATCTAGATAAGATAGAACTGTGAACATTGAGTTGCTTGCAGTAGTTTCGGGCGATGGGGCAGGGTCTCACCGTGTAGCCCAGGCTGACCTCAGACTCTTGGTGATCCTCCTGACTTGGCCTCCCAAGGGCTGGGATTATAGGCATGTGGTACCACAGACTTGCTTACAGTTTTAAAGTTGCAGGAGCGACACTAAGCCTTCCCTCCGTTCTATACAAGGGCCCTTGAACATCCTGTCATTTCAGTGGCGCTCAGGCATATCTGCTTCTTGGATTTCAAGGGAAGCGGGCTGGGTGCTGACAGTGACCTCGGTAGTGACTGCTGCAGTTAAAGGAGCAGAGCTTCACTTTGACTCCCAGGTTCAGTCTGTGGTCAGGTGGCAGAGAGGCCCTGGAGTAGAGGATGGTCAGCCCCTGGCAGCCAGGACCAGAGAGAGAAGGGAGGGGCTGGGGCCGAGAACACCCTTTTCCCCATCCTGCCTCCAGTGACCACGCCCGCCTCCAGATAGAATTTGTGGGGGCAATCACCTGAGGAATGGTTGAAAAAGATGTGGTATTTTTACACAATGGAGTATTACCCAGCTATAAAGAATGATAAACTTGAAGTCTTTATATTGAAGTGGATGCCACTTGAAGATATACTCATAAGTGAAATAAACCAGACACACGTGTAAATATCATATAGTTTCCCTATATATTCATAAGAACTCAAATGAAGAAATACAAATGGAAAGGTATAATACAAGTAAAAGGAAAGCAGGAACTCAAGGACTAAGAGAAGGAAAGGAGAAGAGCTAGGAAACATGACAGTGACAAGCCATACAGTTATATGTACAAGATGGGCAAGGCAATGAACCTGAGAGTCTCCAGAAGATTTTTGAATCTAGCAGTTAATTGGAAAGATTCTCACCCTGACTAACTATATATACTGATACCTATGAACTAAGATACTGCACTGCAGATGGTAATCTGTAATAGTACGTTCTTGCTTGGAGTATCGGTCATTCTGGTCTTCTGAATACGGGCTGCTTGTCATGACATGCCAGTTGCTGCTGTGCTGTCTCTCGGGTAGATGATTGTTCAAAAAGAAGGGGGTGGTGAGTGAAGGCAAGAGACAGGAAAAGGAATATTGTGGGACTGTCCTGCTTCAAGGTTGTATATGGTGAGATTTTTGGACTTATGCGCAAACATGAGAAGTATAGAATTCTTTATCCTATTTTTAAAATATAAGCTAATTTTTAAATGTTTTTTTTTATCATATTATGTAGGGACTTAAAGTTCAACATACCAGTACTTGATGAAAAATACCTGTTACCTGTTCCTTATTATGCCTAAGATGTTTGAAATGCAGTGAGATAGTGAGGTTAAGCTTGATAGCCTAAATCTTTTGATAATAACAATAAGCTTGTCTTCTGGATGGTTAACAACCTAAGTTTGCAGACCAAAATTAGAGAAAAAGGAGGGCCACAAGGAAAGCCAACATTTTGGCCCTAGCCTTCCAAGGTCAATTAAAACTCAGGACATATGAGAACTTGTACTGTAACGTCATGTAACTCAGTAGTGTCCCAAATTTTCTGATCAGGGAGATAATGGGGCCAAAGAGGAAAGTGATCGATGATGTAGAGTGTGCCTAAGGAGAGTCACATGGAGAGAAGACACTCTCTCAGGCTTTCACAGAGAGCACATTGGCCAAGCAATGGTCGTGACTCATCCACATGGCTGACACTGACAGAGGATCTACAATCTTAGGTACAGGATCTCAGGATAAATCCTGAGCGGATTTCACTGACCTTATCAGACCCAAAAGCTACAACTCTTGTTGCATAGGTCCTGCTTTACCTTGGTCTTTTTTTTTTTTTTTTTTTTTTTTTTTTTTTTTTTTTTTTTTTTTTTTTTTTTTTTTTTTTTTTTTTTTTTTTTTTTTTTTTGGTGGAACCGGGGCTTTGAACTCAGGCCCTTGTGCTTGCCAGGGAAGCGCTTATTCCACTGAGCTATCTCCCCGGCCCCATACCTTGGTCTTAACCATCCAGCAGAAAAGTATAAAAACGAAGTATAAGAAGTAAAGCCATGCTGTTATGTTGAGCTGTAGGGGAGTCAGGTCAACAATTTCTGACATTGCCAGTGAAGCGGAAGACCCAATACTCTCATGGACTACGGGACTCTTTAAATATTTTGCTGAGTTAACACACCTATAATATTCAAATAACGGAACTTAACCCAAAAAAGGGGTTATGAATGTCCGTTTGTATCTGTGTATTCAAAGTGGTTAGGATAGCTATATAGTTACATTCTCTTAATGAATAGAGGGATTTGCTCTAATGGTGTTTGTAAATAGGATATCATGTCCGCATCTTGTACAGCAATTAGCCACTAGGAAGAATGTATGCAATGTGTTAATTATTAGAACTGTCCTACCAATTTGGTTTGAAAAAAATAAATAAATAAAAGAAAAAAAAGCACATGCAGATAAAATTTAGCAAAACTAATCTTTTACCTTGATTTCATAGTTTATGAGTTTCCTTGTTTGGAAAAGAAACCATTTGTTTAAACATTTTGCTGTAGGATGACCACACATTCTGTCCATTCCTCAAATCCCCCAAACGATTGGAGCTACACTTAACACTTGAACAATTTTTTAAAAAGAAGAAAGAGACAGAGAGAAACAGACAGAGAAAGAGAGAGAGAGTCACCACTTTGATAATAATTGAGAAAAAGTTTCAAAGGCCATAAAGACAGTTATACCCTCTAATCCAGTAGCCCAATGCTAGGAAATGAATCTAGCAGAAGAAACACTATATACAAAGATGATTTTTTTAATGTTTGTAAAAGCAAATGATGAGGACAGCGACGTATAATACAAAAATCATGCTTGAATATCTTGTCATCTTGGTCTTCTAAATGTGTACCATTTCTAATGTCATATTAATGGTTTCTCTACTCTCCTTAAAATAAATTTTAAAAAAGGAAGAAAAGAGAGACAAATAAAAATTTAAGGTTTCTTGAAAGCAAAAGGCAATATGCAATTATATGTCCAATCCAATCTTACATAACTGTATCTATTAATCTGAGCAACAGATTTGACAGTAAAAATAGATAATATATCAACCATTGTTTTTCATTTTTTGTTGTTGTGGGGTTTTTTTGCCCGCTCAACCCACTCTTAGGGTGGGACTGGCATGACATGTGGTGCCAGGGGTCAAACCGCGGTCCACTGCGGCTTCCTAAGTTTGCCCAAGCAGGCTCTTTAACCACTGTGCTATCTCACCAAATCTTCAGCCATTGTTAATCAGCTATTCTTGTGCTGAAAATCTAACATATCTGTTGTTGGGTGTTACCTTGTTTCTGTCTTTGTTTCTGATTTTTGTTCTTCCTTTTGTTCATACTTTTCAAAATAAAATTAAATTAAAAAGAATTTGTGGGGGCAGTTGTAGCAAGGGGTGAATACTCTGCAAGGAAAGCTGCAGGGCTGAGTCAGGACCCACAGTGTCTTAAAATTAGAGAGCCAGTGCAGGTCCCCTAGCCATACTTACAATCTCCTTGATAACTTGAGATTCAGATGTAGTCATTCTAGGAGAGGGTCTAGGCATCTGAGTCCATGACAGTACTCAGTTGAAATGATTTTTCAGGGTGCCTTAGCGAGTGAGAGAGGAAAACTGGGTCGGGAGGGAGGCTGGCTTGGTCCCTGTACCCCAAGGGCTTGCCTGTGGCCGTATGTGGTGGGGCTGGTGTCACATGGTGTGCTGTGGAAGGACCTTGGGAATGCTTGGTTTTCTCTCTTCCAGCTGAAGAAGGGCAGTGAGCACCAGGCCACGGTGCAGCATGTGGAAGAGTCCTTTGCAGTGGCCTCCTTGGTGGCTACAGGCCATCTGGTGGCCTTCTCTGTGGCCTCTCACCTCAACGACACCTTCCGCTTTGACTCAGAGAAGCTACAGGTGGGACAGGAGGTCTGCCTGGTCCTCAAGACCACAGAGCCTGGAGTGACTGGTCTGCTTCTGGCCGTCGAGGGGCCACCTGCCAAGAGAGTCCTGAGACAGACTCGAAAGGACTCAGAGACGGTTGACGAGGAAGAGGATGGTGACCCAGCTCTGGCCGCGGAGCCAAAAAAGAAGCACACGCTGGCCATCGGTGACACAGTCACTGGGACAGTGAAGTCTGTGAAGCCCACCCATGTGGTCGTGACCTTGGAGGGTGGTGTGACTGGCTGCATCCATGCCTCCCGCATCCTGGATGATGTACCAGAGGGCATCACTCCTACTGCCACGCTGAAGGTTGGGAAGAGAGTGACCGCGCGAGTGATTGGCGGGCGAGATGTGAAGACGTCTAAGTACGGGCTCTGGGCCGGGCTGCGGGCTGCGGGCTGCGGGCTGCGAGAGAGGCATTGTCAGCACTGGGGGAAGTTTCACAAGTCAGGTCCTCTTTGCATTAGCAGAAGGCACTTTCCAGACTGTCAGCATGATTTTTTAAAAAACCGTGTTGGGGCCATGGGTTTAACTGAGTGGCGCAGTGCCTCCCTAGCCAGCATGAGGTCCTGACTTCGATTCCCCGTACCCCAAAATAATAACAAATCAGTGTGTAATGGTTAAGAACATAGGTTGAAGTCCACATTGATTATGCCCATGTGCATGTACTTTTTAATTCTCTTCGACTTGGTTTCTTTCTTCGTTTCCCCTTGAGGCAGGCCCTCACTGGGTAGCCCAGTCTGACCTTGAGCTCACAGTGATCCTGCCTCGGCCGCCCAATGCTGGGATCACCGGCATGCGTGCCATGCCCAGCTCAGTTTCATTTTCTGAGCTTACCCATTGCGAGTACTGGCCGTTGACCGCCTTGCAGTTCATGGGAAGACTGAAAGGGCACTTAGGAGACTGCCGGGCTTACAGCTGCTGCTCAGAGCTGTCGTCTTTCACCCTCCTCAGCACCCTTGGTGACACTCACTCAGTGCACATGGACCATGCCATGCATTATGGAAATCCTTAGTGTCACCAAAAAAACAAACGCAACAAGTTCACAGTCTGACCAGTAGTTTGCGTATTAATTTTGGGCACTAATGGTGGAATCTTCTGTAAGTCTTTTTTTTTTTTTTTCCTCTTAGACTTCTTTGTTTCTATAATGAAAGAGTGTGGTATGGAAGGATTTTTTTTTCTTTCTTTCTTTTTTTTTTTTTTTTTTTTTTTTTTTTTGTGAGACAGGGTCTCACTATACAGTTTAGGCTGTCTTTGAACTTGCTTAGTCCAGACTGGCCTCTAATTCAGAATGATGCTCCTGCCTCAGCCTCCTGAGTGCTGAGATTACAGGCTATGGTACAACACCTGGCTCTTTTCAGGCTTTTTCAGATTAGGTGATCCTAAGGGATTAGACAGGACAGTTTCCTCTTACCAAGGATAAGAAAAGTCATTTGACTGACTTGTTTCTCCAGGTTCCTCCCAATAAGTCACCCCGGATTTATTCGGACCATCCCGGAGTTGAGCATTCGGCCAAGGTAAGGGAGACCCCAGTAGCATGATCCCATGGGAAGAGCAGCAGGCTTTGGAATCAAGAACCCCAAGGCCTCTTAACTGTGCTGGTGCGAGGCTTTGTCTCTTTGTCCGAGTTAGCGCATTTCCTTAGTACTAAGGCCCTGCTTTGTGGACTGAGTCCCACCCCTACCCTACCCTCACCCCTACGAGCGTGGGCCTCGGACTGCAACGCCAGCCCAGCGTCTACTCAGCAGGTGCCCCGGGAAGGATGGGTGCTTGGGGCTGCACTCTTCAGCTTGCTTTGTGCTCTGCAGTGCTAGGATTGAACTCAGGGTCTCACTCTGCCTAGCTGCGCCCGCAGTCCTGGCTGCGTCATTAGCAGTTCGAGGGGAAACAATCCATGGAAGGAGCTTTGCAGCCCGAAACAAGCGCTCACGTACTGCAAAGCAGCTTTACTTCTGAGCCCTTATGAAGGAGATCGTAGGCTCCCGCTTCCCAGCGGGCTCACCTCCTGGTGAAGGGCCTGGAAGAGTCCGGCCCTCTGGTCAGTATTGTGAAATCCCCTTTTTCGGAGAGAAGTCAGAAATGAGGACCAAGGGGGAGTCCTGTATGGTCAAGGTTACGGGGGAGAGGGTTTCTAAGCAGAAACCGTGTTCAGAGGTGGCTCTTCCCTTCCATTGCCTTTCTGTGAATAGTGAGCTGCAGAAGGATGGCCACACAGCCCTGAGCACTTACTCAGCCAGCCTTGTGGAGACGATGCAGCAGTACCAGGCTGGTCAGACTGTGACTTGCTTCTTAAAGAAGGTAACTGGCATCTGCGATGCAGGCCCACCCTTCTGCGGGGGGTGGGGGACGGCTATGCAGTGGACTCTGTGTGTTGCCATGCTGAGCTTATTGGAGGTGACATGTGGCCTCTGCTGGAAAACTTCTAGTCTACTAGGGGAGCTAAATTATGACCATCAGAATAGCAGGTGGCTTGCAAGTCAGCATGTTAGTAGATTAATTGTACATAAGAGGAAAGTCATGGAGCGAGTTCTAAGGTAAGCGTGGGGCTGATCTTGGCTGCCAGCTGCAGGGCAGAGCAGTATGTTCTGAGCCCGGCTACAGCGGGGTTCCCAGAGGGGAAGAGAGCTGCGTAGCTTGCATGGATGGAGGGTGGCACGGAGGAGCCTGGGCTGTGCGGGCCTTGAGGCCGGTGCGCTTTCCTTTGGCCAGATTGCTCTCCCACGTGCATCTCTCTGAACGTGTCTGGCACTTGGTGCCTTTAGTTACCTGTTGCTCCTTGGCCTGGATGCCCTAGAGTAGCCTGCCCAACCTCTCCCACCTAGTAGTCACTGAAAATCTCTCTGCATTCATGCTGGACTCTCCCTGTCCCTGTCGCCTGACCTCTCTGGGACTTGGCACGGTCTCCCGTCCCGACTGAGCCGTCCTGCATCTTTCAGCAGCGTGCCTTGCTTCATGTGTGTCGCTGCATCTGACGATTTGCATGCTTATTCAATGTGATGCTTAGACTGATCCCTGAGGGGCCTGGCTTTTGTGCATAGTGGCTCCTAGAAGTTTTTATTGTACTGACTTGAAGACCAGAGTCTGGGTGTAGGGCAGGACGCTGTGTAGTGAAGAATCAAAGTCTAAAGTGAGTAAGCAAAGCCACTTAGGAGGGTGAGGTAGGAGAATTGTAAGCTTGTGGCCAGCCTGGTCAACTCAGCAAGACCCTATCTCAAATTACAATTTCATTTTATTTTATTGATACTGTAGGTCAAACTCAGGAGCACAAGGTCCTTAAGTGCTTGCTAGACGGCACTTAAGCACTGATCTATCTCCCCAGACCTCAGATTACCACTTTCAAAGAAGAGCTGAGGCTGCAGCTTAGTGGTAGCATGCTTGTAGCTTGTCTGAAAGCCTGGGTTCATCCCTAGTACCACCAAAAAAAGACTTAGAATTAAAATGTTGGCCCTGGAGGTGTAGGCAGACCAGAGCTTGGTGGATCTGCCCAGTGGGGACACCTTTGAGTTCCTTGCTTGCCTCTGGAAACCAGTACACTGAGGTGACTCTGGGGGGCACCCCGCTCCTGTGAGAAAGATTGGGCGGGGCCAAGAGGGTGTCGACTGCTGTGTGTGTGCTGCTTCCTGTCCCTTGTGTGCAGTTAGGCCCCTTGCAGTCTTGTGGTGTTAGGAGAGTTAATTTTAAAAGAGGAAAAATAAAACCATGCTTGTATCTCCCCTTTCCCATGGCTCCCATTTTTTCCCCTAGTACAACGTGGTCAAAAAATGGCTCGAAGTGGACATCGCGCCAGACATCCGGGGGAGAATTCCCTTGTTGCTCATGTCTCTCAGCTTCAAGGTTAGTGTAGGTGAGGACACTGGAGAGGAGACACTGGCCAAGTTTGACTATGTGTGCACCCAGTGGGCACAAGGAACTCCGCACTCATGAAGGGTTTGGGACATAATTGCTTTGGAGTCTTAAATGTCATGGTGTGGGATGGATGTAGGTCTTTCTTAAAGCATCACGGGCTGACATTTAAAAAAATCTTATTTATTTGTTTTGGTCCATCCTTGTAGGTTCTGAAACATCCAGATAAGAAGTTCCACATGGGCCAGGCCTTGAGGGCCACTGTGGTTGGCCCAGATTGCTCCAAGGGCTTCTTGTGTCTCTCACTGATAGGTATGGGGTGAAGCAGTACCTGGCAGGAAGTAGTGGGGGCAGGTCATCAGTTACTGCCCGGCTGAACGACGCCCGCACTGTTGGGTCATATCCTGGAAAAAGTCTGCGCTGGGACTTTGGTCTCTGGCCTTTCTTACCTTGTCATTGAGTCATCATTGCTGACAGTTGGTTTTCCCAAGTCCCTCAGAAAGTGTTGTCTGCCGCATACCCTAGGGACCTCAGGTGCATGGTGTGGTTAGTGGGTCTCAGAATCGCTTTGATCCAGCCCAAGTAGAGCCATCTCCACCTCCCTCGGTCTGTCCTGGATTTTGGCTGCTTGCTTTTTATTTATTGGAACAAGCAGGTCGCTCCTCTACCACTGAACCATATGCTCATTCATGGGGCGGGTGTCTTTTAGTGGGGGTTGACCCTAAGGCCTTTGCACTGAGATACACTCCCAGCCTTTTTTTTTTTTTTTTTTTTTTTTTTTTTTTTTTGTGGGACCAGTAATTGAACTCAGGACCTTGTGCTTGCCAGGCAAGCACTTATTCTACTGAGCCATACCCCTAGCCATTTGTTATTATTAATTTTGAGACAGGGACTTGTTAAGTCACCAAATTGCCGAAGCCGGGCTGGCCTTTAATTGTCCTGTCCCAGCCTCCCGGGGTGCTGGGATTATAGGTGTGCAACAGCTCCTAGCTGTTTTTCTTGTCCTTTCCTCTTCTCTGAATCAGGTTCACTTTCTTCCCAGGTCCTCACAAGCTTGAGAAAGGAGAAGTGGCCATGGGTCGTGTGGTAAAAGTGACGCCCAACGAGGGCTTGACTGTTGCCTTCCCCTTTGGGAAGACGGGGACAGTCAGTGTATTTCATGTGAGCGACTCCTACTCTGAGACACCCCTGGAGGACTTCATGCCGCAGAAAATTGTCAGGTGAGCCACGTTTATTTCCCTTTTCACCTTTCTCCTGCTGCTTACTGTGAAACTGGTGAGATTTCTTCTAGATTGGAAATAATCAGCGTTTTTGTTTGTCTGTTTCGTGGTATTTGGGATGGAATTCAGGACCTGCACATGATAGGCAAGTGCTGTGCCGCTGAGCTGTATCTCCAGCCCATTAAATTATTTTTATTTTTCATTTTGAAACAAGGTCTCACTGAGTTCCTACGTTGCCAAGGTTGGCCTTGAGCTTGTGATTTGCTGCCTTACCCCGCAGAGCGCTGGGGTTGCAGTATGCACCACCTTTCCTGGCTTACACGTGGTTTTATGCCACAAGAAAACAAGTATATAGGATACCAAATGCAGATTCCTGTCACTTCTCTCTTTCCACCACTTCTTGTGACATGTGCTTTGATCTCTCTTTCCAGACTTCCGCATGTAGGTAGATACGGCTTTCCTCATGTAATAATTAATAGAATTCCATTTTATGTCTTGTTCTGCAGCTTGCATCTTTCCCGTAATAGTCTGTTACAGACTTCTTTTCCATGCTGATGTATCTAAATCTACCCTGTTCTTTCACTTTATTTTTAACATTTGCTTAGTATTTTTACTGGGGCTGAGGATTGAGCCCATAAATATTCTCTTGCCAAGCTAAGTCTCTAGCCTTTCTTAGTTTTGTACTTTGAGGCAAAGGGTCCTGTGAGTAGCACTAAGTTAGTTTCCTTCTTCTATGTGGGTCATATGTCATGCGCTAGGCAGGCCCTTGAGGCCCTTCCTGCTCTTCAGGCTCTGAGGCCTCTCAAGGAAGGCAACATGTCTGGGAGGAAACACTGGGCCTGTTCTTCCAAGTCACCCATCCTGGCCTTGCGCTTCAGATCCTCCTCCCAAGCCTCCTGAGTAACTGGGGTTCCCGGCGTGCACCCCCATGCCCAGCTCTCCTGCTTGTTATCTCCGTGTGTGCAACCAGTTCTCCCGAGACAGTCATGCTGCGGTGAATGTCTCCGCAGCTGTGTGGGCTCGTAGCGCTGCGCTGTCTTGCCATGAGCCAAGCAGGGAGGTGACGTCCGTGCCTCACCGTGTGCTGTGAGGCCTGTGTGCAGGGTGCGCATAGCTGCTGCCTCTCAGTCCCCTCCAACGCCGCGTGCCCTTAGCTCTTCGCTTTTGGCAAAAGCCTCCATTTTGATTACTTTTCCCTCTTTTGGTCGCTAAGTTTCTCGGCTGTTTATGTTTGGTTTGTGCTTTGCTTGTCCAAGTCATTTGCTCCTGTGCATTTGAAACAGTGTTTTTAATCTCTCAGTAAGTATTATATAAAGGCAGACAGCCTGTCCACAGTGGATAACAGGTGGAAAAGGGAGCTTTAAGTGTGACCTGCGTCAATGCCTAGGCCCCGTGGGGCCCGAACAAGCTGTCCATCAGGAGGCAGATTGTGGTGTGATGCCGTGCAGTTGGCTGTAGTGTGGAGCAGATGCCTTCGGTGAATAGGGGGGCAGATAGTCCCTGTCCTCTGCCGTCTCCGTGTCCCTGTGCTTGTCCAGCACAGATCAGAGGCAGCCCACACAGGAAACCCCCAAGGCATGGGAGACGCACATGATGGAGTCCAGAGATGTCCAGAACTGTGTCTGGTTTGTTTCTTGAGGCTCTCAAAATGAGGGCATGGTTGTGAGGGACAAATTTATTTTAAATACTTTTTATGACAACTGGACCCATGAGTAGCATTACATTGCATCTTCCTCAGTCTGTCAGATGTGGGTCATAAATTTCGGCTGAAGGTAGACAGGCCCTTGAGCCCTTTCCAGCTCTGAGGGTTGGTGCCTCCTAGAAAGGAAGACATGCTGTGGGAAGGCCTGGCACTGCCCTTCTGCTGAGATGTGTTCCACCTCCGAAGCTCCACCCGCGTGCATGCGTGCATGTGTGCGTGTTGTGGGAAAGGGACTAGTGATGTAGTTCAGGCTGGTCTTGAACTCATAGTGATCTTAAAAACAGTAACTCCCCTGCCTCGGTGTGGGGCTGAGTGGTGTGTGCCACCGTGGCCCCGTAAGAGCCTGCACTCTCCAGAGCTGCTGACCACCGAGCGTCTCCCTTTCTTTCCCAGCAGATGTTACGTCCTGTCCGCTGCAGACCACGTGTTGACTTTGTCACTACGATCATCCAGGTAGGTCTGAGTGCCGTCAGGATCAGAGCCGAGGACTCGCTCAGAGGACCTTGTGGAGCCTCTGGATCGGGTGCAGGGCTCTGCGCTGCCCACCCCTCTTCTCTGCTCATGCTCCTCACACCCTGAACCTCTTACCCACAATAGCTGGGATGTTTGTATTGCTGGAAGAGCCGTCTGCCAGCCTCTTGCTTCCCGGGAGAGAGGCTCAGGCGTGCGGCTGTGGGCCCACGGAGAGAGGCTCAGGCATGCAGCTCTGGGCCCACGGCTGCGAGGTGGCGGTGCTGGTGAGGAGAGCTCGAGTGCCCAGGCCCCCATGGTAGGGCTGAGGGTGCGTGGAGGGGACTGGCCTGGGGTCTGCTTGCTCTGGGAGAAGGGCAGGTGCTTTAGACCAGGCTCACAGGCAGATGCCTCTGGCTCAGTGAGCATCACCTTGTTTCATCACAGCAGCTCTTGGATGCCAGGGCCTGGCCTGGCAGAGCAGTGAGGCTTTAGAGGTTGCGTCCTGCTGCAGACAAGCCCAGAGGTGTATTTCCACCTGCAAAGAGCAGTTCCTGCGGGGTGCCGAGGTGTGCCAGGGTGAGAAGTTGAATGTGTGTGTGAGCCTTGCATTCCTTTAGGACGAACCCTGAGACCAAAAGCAAAGTAGAAGATCCCGAGATTAACTCCATGCAGGACGTGAAGGAAGGGCAGCTTCTGCGGGGCTACGTGAGGGCCATCAAGCCACATGGTGTGCTCCTGGGGTAAGTGAGCTGGGCCACCTGTCTTATTCTGGTGACCACCACCTCCACACAGTTTTGACATAAACGTAAAGGAAACAAAACTTGAAAGTCCAAGTTTGTAAATACTTTGTAAAAGTTTTGCATTATTTCTGCTTGATGTTTTTGGACAAAGAAGATATGTGTTTTTTTCAATTGCAGTTTGACCTCAGGTTGGTTCTGGGTTTTCTCTGACTTAGTGTTTGGTCATGAGTTGTAAATATTCTGTAAAATCACACTGTTCCCAGCCCCAGATGTGCAGCCTTTCCTGTGTTCCTTCTCTTTCCCTCCCTGTCAGCCCAGGAATATGTGATTTCGATATTGTGGTGCTCTGATGTGGGGTCACGCATTCCCAGGTAGCTGAGTGTAGCTGAGGAGGAAAGCGCTTGCCTGCCAAGTGCAAGGGTCCATCCCCAGCACCACAAAAAGAGAAGTCCCCAGTGACACCCTCACGCCTCGTAACTCCAGTTTACAAGGCCCACTTGATCCTGCAGAACACCATGAGCTTGGGACAAAAATGGAGCTCCTGGGTGTTGCTGGGAATCTGTTAACCCTTATCACCACAGGCTTCCTCTCTCTCTGTCCTTCCAGCCTTGGCCCCTCCATTGTGGGCTTGGCCCATCTCTCCCATGTCTCCCAGAGTGTCCCGGCCAGGAAGGACCTTTATAGCAGATACTTGCCTGAAGGGAGGCTGCTCACTGCCAAGGTCCTCAGGTGGGTGCTTCCTCTCTGCCTTCCGCCCATCGCTGTCTCTGTGGTATGACTCCAGCCCCTTTGTCTGGGAGCCCTGGGAGATTTCAGGATACACTGAAGCAGAATGGCGTAGGCAGCCAGGCACAGTGTTCTTGAAGGAAGGGCCTTTGGAACCTTCTGTCCCAGCGTTAGCCCAGAACAGATGTGGCCACTGTTGTTGCTGTCTAAGCTGCATGCAGGCGTGCTCAGATGTGCATGTTGTACCTGAGTGCCGAGGGGGTCCTAGCAGGGGCAGGGTCGAGAAGCAAGGCCGGCGAGAAGGGGCCTCCGTGTGCCCACAGGCCCAGTGCCCTGCGTTGTCGTCACTTTCCACCATCCCTCTCCACCTGCTGTAGGCTGAACCACAACAAGAACCTGGCAGAGTTGTCCTTCCTCCCCGCCGACACCGGGGAGCCAGATGTGCTGTCTGTTTCCCCAGAACTGGTCCTTCAGAAGGAGAGGGACAAAAAGGGAATGAAGAAGAGTCAGGAAAGGAAAGAAAAGAACCTGAAGGGGGAGGCAGGGGGGCAGCTGCCCAGCAAGGAGCAGATGAAGGCGAAGAGGCCTGGCAAGCAGGAGCGCCAGGACTCTGGGGAAGCACAGGTGAGTGGGGAGAGGAGCGGGGTAGCACCTCGGGAAGAGGGGTGTTGGAGAGGCCAGCCCGGCCACCTGCAGAGGCTCGTGTGGACGTGGGCACTGGCGGGGCCAGGGTTGGCACTGAGCTGGGCGCCAGAGATGCTCCAGAGCAGCATTTCCTGCTTGCTGTCCTAGGAAAGAGTGAACAAGAGGCAGAAGAGAGCTTGTCCTCTGGAGGAGGATGACAGTGGCGTGGAAGTGTATTACCGTGAGGGAGAAGAGGAGATAGAGGAGACAAAGGTGAGGGCCGGCTCCAGATGTGGGGGCAGCCGAGCCAGAGAGTCTGTGGCTGCCTCCCGAAGCTCTGGGCTCACAGGGGCTGTGCTGGCTTCTCAGCTGGCTGTCGCTCCTTGAAAGAGGACTCCTCACCCCAGAGGAGCCTGCGTAAGTGAGCCCCTCACGTGTGCTGGGTAGGTGGCACTGAGTGAACGTAAGCAGGTGGCAAACAGAGACTTAGCCACTCTGACTTGTGTTTTTAAGAGACACAGGAGGGGTGTGGAGGGGCTCCCAGCCCCAGGCAGGGCTTGCACCCCATGTCCTCAGAGCTCTGCTCACCTCTGTCCCAGCTCTATACTAGCTTCTGACTCTTGTGTGTATTTGTGTTAGAGGTGTACAAGACTCACCTTGTTGGACTTTATGAGTGAATCCAACTTACAAACATTCTCCCCAAACAACTCATTCCTGAGTCAGGGACTTACTGCACTGTTATCTCAGGAGTATTTCTCCGTATACGTATGTTTTATAAATCTGTTACCTAAATAATTTTTTGTAGAGTGCTTATGCCCAGCCTGGCCTGACGGAGAGGGTCTCTTGTGCTCTCCTCGGGCAGCCTGAGCTGAGTGTTCTCCTCACCCCTCACCATCCTGCAGGGGACACTGACCAAGCCCGCAGAAGTGCCCCGGCTGCGAATCTCTTCAGGCTTCCTGTGGGATGTGGGGCTCGACTCTCTGACCCCTGCCTTGCCGCCTCGAGGAGAGAGCTCTGACAGTGAGGAGGAGGAGACGCCTCGCCAAGCCACGGTGCTGTGTTCCTGGGTCCTAGGCTTCTCTCAGGGATCCCTGGGTCCCAGGTTTGGGCCTTCTCCTCCTGTCCTGCTGTGCCAGGGTGGGGGTGGCACCAGGCCAGCCCGGAGCATCACAGAGCCAGCCCTGGGAGGCCTAGCCCGCTCAGCATGGCTACCAGCACAGATCTGCGCTGGTCGTAGGGGAGCACACAGCTCACTCACTTCTCGGCCTTCACAGCAGAAAAAGAAGAGCAAGAAGGAACGAGAGATGGAAAAGCAGAAGGCAGAAAGGGAGCTGTCCCGTGTCGAGGAGGCTCTGATGGATCCTGGGAGACAGCCGGAGTCTGCGGACGACTTTGACCGGCTGGTGCTGAGCTCCCCTGACAGCTCCATTCTGTGGCTGCAGTACATGGCTTTCCACCTGCAAGCCACGGAGATTGAGAAGGCCCGGGCCGTGGCCGAGAGGGCCCTGAAGACCATCTCCTTCAGGTCCAGCTGCGTCTCCCCTGCGCTGGGGCGGGGTCTTTAGACCCGGAGCAGTGTGTAGCCCCCGCTCTGGCTTACAGAACCCGCGCCTGTGGGTTCCTTCTCTGCAGGCGGCAACAGCAGCGAGTGCAGCTGTGCCAGGGAACATGGTTTGCAGTGTCTGCGGAACAGAGCTGCTTATTTATGTTCCATGGGCCTCTTCACTGAAATAGCCGTGGGTGGCACTCACCAGAGTCTCTACCCATAAGGGAGACACCCGGTTAGGAACAAGCAGAACAGAAAGGCAGCTGCCACACAGGCCCCGCCGGCAGCATTTTCCCAGCCCAGTGGAATCAGTGTCCTTAGCCTAGTGAGGATGTAGAGCAGTTCTGTTGAATCCCACCCAGGACACAGGCTGGCGTGATCTGAGGGCTTCCATGCCGGGAATGGGGAGGCGGGGCAGCCTTGCCTGGGCAGCTCGGGCCTGAGCTCGTAGTGCCTGCCCCTGGGGTGGACGTCAGGACAGGTAGAGCCTGGGGGAGGCAGCGGTTGACCCAGCCCTTAATGGAAGCAGCCTGCTGTGCCAAGCTGATGGGTTTGTGTCCTCTGTAGAGAGGAGCAGGAGAAGCTGAACGTGTGGGTGGCGCTGCTGAACCTGGAGAACATGTACGGCTCTCCCGAGTCCCTGAGCAGGGTCTTCGAGCGCGCCGTGCAGTACAACGAGCCTCTCAAGGTCTTTCTCCACCTGGCCGACATCTATGCCAAGTCTGAGAAATTCCAGGTAGGAGGCCCGTCCACGCCGCCTCCGGACCTCCTGGGAGCCCCAGGGCAGCCTCAGAGAGAACCCTGAGTGGGAGTCCTGTCCTGCCCAGGCGCGCTCCCAGACTCCTGGCCCCCTTCACGTCCACCTCCAGGTCGGGAAAGGAGGTGAGAAGTGCTGCCTTCGAGAGAGGGACAGTGGTCCCTGCTCTGTGCCCTGGCACATGGTGCTTGGCGGACAAGAGGGATTCCTGCCCTAAGGGGTCCTTCTCACCTGGTCCCGTCATTCTTTGGGGTTATTTTTAGTTGGTTGGTTGGTTCTGGGGGACCAGGGTCTGGCTTTTGAGTTCAAGCTGGCCTGACTCACTCTGTAGCCGGCTGGCAGCTGGCACAGTTGTCCTGCTTCCACCTCCCGAGGCTCTGTTGTACGTCACCATGCCTGGCCTGGCGCTCTCACATTCCTCTTCCACCAGGCCTGCTTGTTGTTTTGTTTTAACTGGGGATAGAGCCCAGCCTTTGTGTGAACTACATGTACAGCCCCAGCCCCTCTCTAGTTTGATAACGATGTCTCTGAGGTGCTAAATTGCCTGGCCCGTGGCATGCCTGCATCAGCCTCTCAGGGTACTGGGATCCCAGGTCTGTGCCACCATGCCCCACCAGCCCAGGGCCTCAAGGACGCAGGATGAGTTGGGAAGCTCCTGTCCTTTCCCCTGCTGTGTGTTGCCTCGTCGCAGGAGCGCACTCTTCCTCGCCTGACGCATCTGGAGTTGGGCCTGCTGTGGCCATGGCGTCAGTGAGCCTCTCTAGTCTCGTAAACGGCGTAGCCTGTCTTCATTGCTGTCGCTGGTGAGCAGCACACCCCTCTCAGCCTGGGCTGTGTTTCCCACAGGAAGCTAGTGAGCTGTACAACCGTATGCTGAAGCGCTTCCGTCAGGAGAAAGCTGTCTGGATCAAGTATGGTGCCTTTCTTCTGCGGAGGAGCCAGGCGGGGGCCAGTCGCCAGGTGCTGCAGCGAGCCCTCGAGTCCCTGCCTACCAAGGAGCGTGAGTGCTGGGCTGGCCTGAGGCGCAGGCTCCCTGACATGCATCTGGGGGTCGGGCTGGTGTCTGTCAGGGTCCTGCCGTAGCTTGGGAGCTAGGGCAGGCTTTGCTCTTGTGGGACGGTGGTGTGGGTGCTCTGCGAAGGGTGGCGGAGCAGAGAGCTCCAGCACGCCCAGCTGCCCTGGCCAGCCGCCACAGAGGGCCCTGTGGGGCCCAGGTGCCTGTTCAGTTCTAAGCACCCCCCTGCCATTGGGCTTTGCCATCCTGTGAGCCCTGGCCCTAGAAAGAGCAGAAGTCAGCGTCACCACCCCCGCTAGGGTGTCAGCCAGGGCTGTCGGCCTGCTGTGTCTGAGTGGCCTCTCCCTGCAGACATGGACGTCCTTGCCAAGTTTGCCCAACTGGAGTTCCAACTGGGAGATGCAGAGCGGGCCAGAGCCATTTTTGAGAACATGCTGAGCACCTACCCAAAGCGCACAGATGTCTGGTCGGTCTACATCGACCTGACCATCAAGCATGGCAGCCAGAAGGAAGTCCGGTGAGAGGGGAAGCCCGTCCATGGGCCTGGCGGGGCAGGCGGGTGCTGCCCTCCAACATGCTCTGGGTTCTTTGTTTCATCTGGGAGAACAGCCTTCATAGGCCGCCTTGGCCCCGTGCCACGCTCACTTTTTCAGCCTCTGGTCTCTGCAGGCGCAGGGGAGAGGTGACCAGGGCTGGGTCACAGTGTTACTGCATAGCTCACCTTGTCCCCAGCATTGCCACAGGCAGAGGGCCACAGTGGGTAGGCAGATGGAGCACCTGGTCCTTCTATGAGGGTGGTGGGGAGGTTGAACGCAGAGCCTTTGCTCTGACCTACATTTTTAGCCCTTTAAAAATTTTTCTGTACCACAATGTCAGTCACTAGGTTCCCCAGGAAGGGTTGAAACCTTGATCCTCTTGCCTCAGCCTCCCAGAGTGCTGGGATTTTAAGCATGTACCACCAACCAGGCTGTTTTGTCATTTTTATTTTTTGTAGTACCAGGACCAAACTCGGGACCTTGTGCTTGCCAGGCAGGTGTTTATGCCACCGAGCTATCTCCCTGTCCCCCACTTTGTCTGTCTTAAATACTGTTTCCTTCACAGGTCCATCCCCGTTGCCCCTCCATCCCAGTACCTTTGTTGTCATTGCCTGGTAACTTTAGGAAAGCAAGCCTGCGCTCAATGGGAAAACAAGGGTGGTGCTGTCCCCCCATGGCCTTAGGAGAGTTCATAAGGATGATGAGGGTGGGTGAGGGGCTGGGCGTGGCAGCACTAGGGAGACCGAGGCAGGACTGGTGCAAGTGCAAGCCCAGCCTGAACTGCACAGTGAGACCCTGTGTTCAGCAAACAAAAGAAACATAAAGGTGGACATGGAGTTCCTGGTGAGGCAGGGGCGAGGGTCTGAAGGCCAGCGGCCGTGCTGGCCAGGACTCATGGGGCTACTGTTCCTCTCTCCTCACAGTGACATCTTTGAGCGGGTGATTCATCTGAGTCTGGCCCCTAAGAAAATGAAGTTCTTCTTCAAACGCTACCTGGACTATGAGAAGCAGCACGGCGCCGAGAAGGATGTGTTGGCTGTGAAGGCCAAGGCCCTGGAGTACGTGGAGGAGGCCAGGAGCTCCGTGCGGGAGGAAGACTAGGCCTGGGCAGCATGGCACCAGCAGCAGGGCCGGCTCAGCCCTGCGAGGCCCCTGGACACGCGCAGACTTGTTGTACAGGGCTGCCTTTTCTGCAGCGCCCGTAGGGCAGTTCTGTCAGGATGAAAGAGAATCTGACGTTGTTTAATTATGTGCCCCCCTTGTTCAATTTACATTATTTATTGGGAAGGAGTGGTGCCATGAGGGACCCCAGGGCCTTGCACACCCAGCCAAGTGCTCTGCCCCGAGCTGCAGGCCTCCCCTCGAGGCTTCATTCTTCCTCGCATGGTTTGTTTTATGGACTGGTTAATGCCATTGTTTTCCTCAATGAGATTGTACAGCTGTTCTGGGATCTTGGAGTCTCAAGAAAACCGTGTCCCTCCGTGTTATTCCCTGCCTCTCTGCCTGGTGGACAGGGTCTGAAGCACTCAGGAGCAGGCAGCCTCAGTTTCGGGGCACAGCCTCAGCTCTACTGGTACCAAGGCCCTCTGAGGGCGGCATGGCTGGGAATGGTGGGAAAGCAGGGCTGCCAGGGCAGCCTAGTGGTTTGGTGGTTTCCCACCTGATGACGGTGCCAGGCGCACTCTGACCAGTGAGCTCCCCTCCAAGTGGGGTAGAGTGGGAGGTTGGTGCACACCACACTGGCTGTGGAAGCCAGGTCTTTTGGATTGGTCCCCAGAGAGTTAAAAGCTTTCACCAAGCCGGAACTGTCCTGAGCGCTTTTCCATGAGAAGTGACTGCTGTGTGCCAGGGAGGGAGAACACTGTGGGGAGGTGGGGGGCAGCAGCATGGGGAGGGAGCAGAGGGAGAGGGCCCAGAGGTGGGGGCAGGGCTGGCGGGTCCCTGTGCTGGGCAGGGCTAGTTCCATCCTGCAGGCAGGATCTGCCTCATGCCACAGCCTAGTAAATGCCTCCAAGGGAGGCCAGCTGCCTCTGACCCTGATCGTATCACCAAATCCTGGTGCCTAGAGATCTCACCCCAGGGGTTCCCAGCATCAGCATCACCATCACCGTGTGGCCCAGTTTAGCTCTGTGCCCTCCCGTGGGGTGTGGCCATGCTCCTTTGGTCACCAGACGCTAGGCTAGTCTGCTGTGGTATGAAAAGCTTTATGAAAACTTAAATATATAAAATCAGGCCAAAGGCCTACCGTGAAGGCAGCATTCCAGCAGTGCGCCAAGCCCTGTGCCCTGCAGTTAGACACAAGTTAACTGCATCAGCGGCTCTCCAGGCTGGGGGCTTCTCAGCTCGCAATCCACCAACAGTTCATTGTGGTGCACTGCTAGAGAGGACCAGTTCTGGGAGGGTTTTCCCAAAGGCTGTGAACCAATGAACCAAGCAGGCTGGTGGCGACAGGATCTGGGGAGGGGTTTTTGGATCTGAGGGTCCCCTGCAGAGCTGACGTCTCCCACTGGAACTCTGTACCCCAGACTACACCATGTCCCTTCACCCTGTCTGTCCAAAAACCAGGGGCAGGAGGCTTCTGTTCAAGCTGCTATGCTTCAGCTTGGCCCAGGTGGTTGTGTGTGTGGAGAGCAGGACCCTGGGGCCCTCAGGAGCTGAACAAGGCCATCTCCACGCCGTCGGGGGCCCTGCCGTTGCCTGCCAGACCCTGCGCCCACTTGTGCAGGCGGCTATAGAGCGGGAGGCCCTGGTTCTCGCGGTACAGGTAGACCCCAGTGATGGCATTCCACTGCGGCCGCGGCTGTGTGCCCTCCACCGCGAACTTGGCAACCAGCTCCTCATCATCCTTGTCAAGAGCTACAAAGCCGAAGAAGCGGCGCACGTTGCTGGCAGCCAGCACCCTGGAGTGCACCTCGGCCGTGCGCTGGAAGAGCTGGTCCTCGTTGGCCCGGTACTGCGCCCAGTAGGCCTCCTGGCGGTAGCTCAGCGGCGAGCAGCAGTGCTTGAGGCACTTGGTCAGGAACACCAGGATGGCCACCACGCCAATGAGCAGCCACCCGAAGAGCTGGTGAGGACAAGCAGGGTTCAGGGGCGCGGCTGCCTCCGCTGCAGGTGGCCTCGCCCTGTGTCCCCTCTGTTGCTTGCCCTCACCTTGGCTTTTAAAAACATTTTGAGATGGTATCTCACTGTGTAGTCCAGGCTGGCCTGGCACTAGCAGCAACCCTCCTACATTAGCCTTCAAAGTGCTGGGATTATAGGTGTGTGCCACCACGTCTGGCTTCCTGCCATTTATACCCTGCATTTTCTGCTACCGCTTCAACCCCAGGCTGACTCATCCCACCCTATCAAAACCCAGCCTAAGGCCAGCGTGTAGCTGCAGAGGTTCTGTGGAGGCTGAGGGTCTTGTCCCCACGCCACACAAGCCCAGCTGCCAGGCCAGGCTCAGGCCACCTGCAGGAGAACTGCAGAAGCCCTGGGAGGAGTCTTCCCGGCTGAGGCCGAGTCCTTACCAGTTTGGCTCCAGCCTCACCACTACCGCCTGCCTTGTTCTGAGGTCACCAGCGCCCAGATGTGAGCATGCTGAGGGCAGGACGTGAGGACACGTTGGCTACTGGGCCGGGAGCAGTGGGCATGTGCGCAGCAGGCAGCACCATCTGCGGTGCTGTCACCAGCCTGTCTCTGGCCACCTGGGTCTCTTACGTTCCCAGGACAGGAGGCCATTCAGAGGACCACACGCTCCTTCCCATCTCCCTGCTGTTGGGTTGCTAAATTTACCACAGCTTGGTGTGCTGCTTTTCCCAGCCCCTGCACTCCAGAGGACAGCGAAGGATGCTGTCTCCTCTCACCCTCCCCGGCCTCCAGGGGGCTCCCTAGCTCAGCCGGCCAGTGGGCTGGGACGGGATGTGCTGGCTTGGAGCCCACCAGCCCACAGTGACTTTCTGCGCTGGCTTGCAGAGTCAAAGGCCTCTGTGTGACAGGTCAAGTCAGAACCAGCTTCTGTCGTATTTAAAGCTCCAGGTTGGAGCTCAGTGGCAGTGTGTGTTTAGCACAACCAAGGCCCAGCACTCAAGACCCCGCACCAGAACTCTTCAGGACCAGTTGCCACCCTTGCCTACCAAACTCACCCCGGCCAGCTGCCCGCTGACGATTTAGTCACAAATGCTTTCCCAGAACTTGGAGCCCTCAGGGCTGACCCAGAACCTCAGCCCAGCTGCCACCCAGGGAAGACAGGGTTCCCTCTGCCTGGCATTTACCTGGGACTCATACTTGAGTCTGCGGCTAACCTCTTCCCGGAAGTCCGACAGGTTGGCTGGGCCCTCGCCGCAAGGGAACCTGGCCAGGATCTCCAAGGCATGAGTTCGAGGGAAGTTCTCTGGCCCGGCCGTAAGAGAAGAGGGGTCCACGAACTCACTGAGAGCACAGACATAGGCCTCTCCACGCAGAAGAGAGATGACGGACCAGGTGATAGGGGCCACGGCCGCGCGGCCCAGGATGGAGCTTAGAAGCAGGAAGTTGGGGGCAGCCGAGCAGTTCTTGGTCCTGCGGTACTGGCACTCAGTAACCAGGTTCCAGGTGTGGTTGTTGAGGATGATGCCGATGAGGAAGAGCGCTAGGGCAGGCACTCCAATGGCCGTCAGCCCGTATAGGTAGTTCCGTGCTGGTGAGCAGGGGCAGTGGAAGGCCACCACGGAGAACAGCTCCTGGCTGCCTACGGTACCCAGTGCCACCAAGCCGTTGAAAATCATCACATCCTTGCTCTTGAAGAAGAGCGACAGGAAGCGGAAGTTCTCCGCAATCAGGGCTGCCATAGTGACAGGTGGCTGGGGCAGAGGCAAGAGAGGAGGTAAAAGGCAGTGGGGCTAGCAAGGAGTGCGGGCCAGAGGCCACCCGCAGGCTAGGCAAAGCTGTGCCATTCTGTCACCTGCGGCAGCCTGGTGCTCTCTACGGAACAGCAGACTCACAGAGGCTCAGGAGGCTGCCTGTGTGAGAAGGCTGGGGAGGAACAAAGGAGCCCGGGCCCTGGAGAAGGAACATATGGTAGCAGCAGTGAGTGCTCCCCACGATCCCTCCCCAAAGCCCTCCACCGGTGTGCCGCAGGAGCCAGAGCCCAGGTCCTGTGGAACTCCAGCTCCAGCGGGTGCTAATGCCCCGAGGCCTGGGCTATGGAGAGGGGAGGAAAGGGGCTTCCAGTGAGTGGTGAGCCTGGGGGGCATAGGCCCTCCCTGTGGAGGCCTCTGGCTCTCCACACACCATGTCTAGTCTGGTCTCTGCATGTCATCTGGGGAAAGCAGATAAAAGTTTCCTAGGAATGCTGTAAAGGAAATGATGCCTTGCAATTGTCCAGCATACAGGGAGGGCCCTGCGTTTGTTCATCCTGTTGGTCTCCAGGGTGTGGGGGATTCAGAGACCAGGCAGGAAATGAAGCCCTAGGAGGGTAAAGCACTTTGCTAGACTGCAGACAGACAGAGGTTAGAGACCTTCCGGGCCTCGGAAGGGACCAAGGCGAATCTGGACTGCAGCAGAGCTTCACCTTCTGTCTCCCACTCAGGGGTCCTGTCCTATCCAGTTCTGCCTCGCTCAGCTCCCAGCTCTGCAGCCTACTCACTCGCTAGCAGGGAGAAGCCTTTCCGGAGCCAACCCTCCGCCAAGCAGTGGTAGCCTACAGCGTCAGGAAGTGGCCAAGGCCCTGGCTCCAGAAGAGACACCCACACTCCCTTCCCAGGCCCCACCCACATCACAGACATTAGGCCTGGGTGTGGTCCCCAGTTCCTCCCCATCCCGGGTAGGAAAATGAGACTCCAGGGCCAGAGGAGCTGAGTGGAGGGAGGAGCGATTCTGTGTCTCAGGCTAGGCCCTAACCACCCCCCCTCAGCCTAGGCCTCAGGGTGAGCCCACTCGAACCACGTGGTTACCAGGGGAACCTGATTTTCCCCAGTGGCCCCTGAGAAAGGAACTCAGCTATATATTTCTGAAGATAAGTGCATTCTCTGCCCCCTTCTCTGCTTTCTCAATTTCTGGGCACCTAATTGGGTCCCTGTGGGGACCTTGACCCATCTACCCGTGGGGCAATGGCAGAACAGGGTGTTGATAGGCAGAGGACCAGTCAGGCCATCTTCCAGACTTGTGACAGACTAGCTACCATCAGTGGGAGTGGGTTTCCCTGGGCACTGAAGGGGTCTGGACCCCAAGCTGGGGCCTCTCCCTGGGGCAGTCCCTGCCCTGCCCAGTGACTGCCTGGCCCCGCACACCCCAGGGAGGTGTCCTCCTTACCTGGGGGCAGAGGCATCTGTGTCCGTCCTCTGCCAGGCGGTTTCCAGTCGCTGCTGGCAGGAGGGCTGGCTGCACCCCAAGTATCTCGCTGCCCACCCTGCTCTCTCCAGCTTGCTTCTGCACCGGGCTGGGTGGATGAGACCGGCAGAGCCTGGGGCTGTTGTCTCCACAGTTTTAGGTCTGGGCGTCTAGAGACACCTTTTACTCCATAAAAGAGAAAGAACGAGTGGGCGGAACATGTTCCCCTGCAAGTGGAAAAACAGCCTCGAGGGAGGGGAGGGGAGAAGGCTGGGGGCGGTGCCAGGGGAGGAAGTGGGGCAGCTGGTTTGGGTTTGGGTTCTCGGCCCTGTCCTGGCCTCTAGCCTGTGCCTGGCTTCACAGCACACACCACGCAGCAGGGGTGGGGACCATGGAGGGTCTCAGCAACAGCCAGGTGGGGCGTCCAGGTCTGGCCTGGGCTCAGCTCCCTCCCTGTGCGTGGCCCCTGGCAGAGGCTGCTGGGAGGAGCCTGATTGGCAACCGGGCTTCCCTCCTTCTCCCCCAAGTACCCTGCTCAGGCGGGGAACATCCCTCCTGAGGACTCTCTCGCTCCCTCCCACGGGCTGTGGTGGGCAAGGCCGTGTTACTCTGCTTTGTGTCTGCTTCAGATCCTGCCTCAGTCCACACAGGGCCCAGGGCCTGCTCCTGGCACCCGCCCTTCCTCAGCAGCGCGTGGAGAAGCCGGATTCCGGCCACGCCTCACGGACAGGCTAACTCCAAAGCTGAGCCCTCTGCTTCCCATCTGCCCCTCCTGTTACCCTCCAAGCCCACCCCACCCCAGAGAGCCACCTTCCCCTCAACTGCAGCCAGAAACCAGACCTTGGGGCATGTGGCGAGTGACCCAGACCCAAATGGGCCAAAAGATGAGGGGCCAAGAGGCTAAACTGGGACCTGCTTCCTCCTCCCTGCCCAAGCAGCTCGAGTACTTCTGTTCTCTGAGTGCCCTGTGCCCTCCGTGAGGCAGGTATTAACAAACATTAGGTACCTCGCACCTGTGAAGTAGATGTCCTTATCCCCAGGTGATAAACTGAAGCACAGAAAGTGAACCCCCCAGCCAGCAATGTGGTCTGGAAGTGGTGGGGCCAGTGCTGCCCACCCCAGGGTCTGGGTGATGTCCACTCCAGCTGCCAGGCACACGAGAGTCCCTCAGACCTGGGTGGGTTTGTGAGGAAATAAGAATGCTTCTCAAGGCCTGGGCATTTTCTCATGAGTCGGAGGTATGAAGGCCTTGGTGTGGCCACCAGAGACCCATACAGGAGGCCACCTGTACTTGGCGCTCCATGAACATGGAGGGACCATGCAACCACATGGCCCGGCCTCCCCTCTGGACCTGACTCTTGACCTGTTTTACCACCTGACCCGCAGGCATGTCCCTCCAGCTGAGGCCCTAGGTCAGCTCCACATGGTCCACCTTGGCCTACTCAGCTCTACCAGCAGCCTCTGCCTGAGATCACGGAAGGGCTGGTGGTCTCTGTCCCTGAGGCTAGAGAAGAGAGATCTTCAAAAGCCACGGACAAGCCTGCAAGGTCCAAAAAGCCACAGGCAAGTTAGCCAGGTGTGGGGGCGCCCACCTATAATGCAGGAGGATCTTAAATTCAATCCCAGCCTGGGCAATTTAGTGATTTAGGAAAGCCTTGTCTCAAAATTTAAAAATGCTGAAATTGTTGTAGCAAAGGCTCTGGGTTTAGCCACTAGTACCAGGAGCAAAGGTAAAAAAGAAAAAAGTGACAGGCAGGAGCAAGTCCAGGGCATGCAAGCCCTAGAAGCGGTGAGCCAGGATTACCTGGCCTCTCTGGGAGGGATGCCAGGGGCTGGCCCTCTGTCCCTGTCACTCTAAGCCAGTTTTGACTCTAATACTGTTGAGGGCTGGCCCATTGCCCCCAGGCCTGTAGGGCAGTACCACAGCGGAGGATAAGGTGCTCACACTTCAGGACTCCCTTCTCACAGGGGCTCGGGGCCACCCGGCCTCCCACCAGCACCAGAGCCCCCGTCCTGCTGTGCGTCTACACTTTGCTGAGGTAAGCGGCCACCTCCCTGCGAGGGGCCCGGGGCCCAGCCCCCGCCCAGCCATTGCCCAGCAGAGGCTGCTCCTGGCCCAGGTGCAGAGGGGGCCTGCACTTGTGCCAGCTCGTGAGCAGCCTGTTCATGGTGCCTTGGTCGGTGATTCCTCGCAGCTTGTCCCGCTCCTCTGTGGTGCCGTGGGCGGAGCTGTGGGCCTCGGGGGCTGCTGTGGCCGTGGCAAGTGCCCTGTGGGTGTGGCCGCGCTCCAGGTCATGGCTCATGGCCTCGAAGAACTGCTGGATGCAGACCTTGGCAAAAGCCTTGGCATGCTCCGTGCACGTCTCGTCAAAGAGCTTGCGCTCAGTGTCAATGTAGTGGGACCAGTACTTGCTCTTGAGGAAGGCAGCCTGCGTGAAGCAGGGCCGCACGGAGCGCACCACGAAGGCCAGCAGTGTGGTTAGCAGCACGAAGGACCAGCCCAGCGCCTGCAGGGATGGCAGTGTCAGTGCGCCCGGCTGCCCACTCCTAGCCGCCTGGACCCACACGACACTCTTGGGCCTTTGCCCGGGACAGTGAGACCTGGGCAAGTGACCTCACCTCTCGCCTCCATCTTCTCGCCCATAAAATGGGCATATATAGACCTACCTCGCAGGAAGGAAATCAATCCTGTAGCAAGAAACTCAGTAGCAGGGGCTTAACTCTGGAGCAGGGGCCGAGACCACCTAGGCCTAGATCCTGCCTCCTCCACTGCTTGCTTCTTGAGCAGGAGCAGAGCCACTGGCTTCTTTGCATGTTTCCTGCCCTGGAGAATGGGCCTGGCGGTGGTGTCACCCTCCAGAGGCTCTCGTGAGATGATAAACTTGGCACCCTGCCTGCCAACTGTGAGCCCTTGTCGTGCCCCTCAAGACTTGGGGCTGTGCTTGCCTTCAGGACAGCTTCCTTGACCTGCCTGGCCCAGGGTCCCTTCCAGCACCTGTCCTTTGGTTCTCAGGACTGACAGTACCCAAGTGGGCACCTTTCCTGTCAGACCCTGAGCTGGGTCCTCAGGGGACGCAGACAAACCAGACAAGCACGCACTCTGCTGTGAAGCACAGGGCATTTGGCGCAAAGTTACCATGGCACAGGGGCAGGGGCAGGGGCAGGTTGCTTTGGGGTCAGGCCCCCCCAGGTGCACAGAGAATGGAGATGCAGGAAGAGCAGAGGCCTGCCACAGGGCCCAGCGGGAGCTGCAGAGCTGAGCTTGATCGAGGCTCCCTGCGCTGCTCTGTGAGCTCGCGGGCAACAAGAGGGGCTGTGTCCTCTTGTGGTTCAACTGATGCCAGAAATCCAATTTTCCATGGAGATTTCTGGTCTTGAGATGAAACCAATGAATTCTAAAGTTGAGTTCAGAGTTGAGTCTCAGGAGGCCGGAAGCAGCTGGGTAGCCTGAAACCTTTCTGCTTGTGATGTTGGGGGACAGCTGCCCTCACCTGGGGCCTGGTGTGGCTGGCCTAGAGCCCCCTGGACACTCAGGTGAGACATTAGGAGGGCCCTCTGGGTGGTGACAGAGGCCTGACAAGAGTCCCAGCAAAGGCCAGTGATCTAAAGCACCTGCTTAGGCAAGCTTAGGTAGTGTAGGGACCATGGTTCGATCCCTGGCACCACATGCCGCAACAGCCCTGCCCCCAGGGTGGGCTAAGCTGGCCACAAAAAAAAAAGTCCCAGTGAGTTTAGGCTCTGTGCTCATCGGAGTGAGTGCCCATGTCTCTCCTGCTTGCTGACACCCGCTCTCTGCCTAGCAGTGCCCAGAAGGCTGCTAGGCGGTCCTTGAGGTCACCCCAACAGTGTGCCCTCCTTGCCCACTGCACCCTCCCGAGGCACCTGACCCTCAGCCCACTGCTGAGCAGGGAGGCACCAGCGAGGGCTATTTGCCAGGGAAATGTACCCAAATGGTGTAGCCAGCCCCCACCTCACCTGTGCCTAGGCCTAGAGGAGGAAAAGGATGCAAATTCGCCTGCGTCTAAGCTCGGACCCAAGGCTGGAGGAGGCGGGAAGAGCCAAGTTGTGGGGTCCATCTCCGGAGGCTCTGTCCTCACACTCCCCTACCTAGCTCCACTGAGGGGCAGTCACACGGCATGAGCTCTGGCCTGCTGCGGTCCTGAGAGGAAACTGGGCCTCTTACCTGGGAGATACAGCGTAGGTAGCGCACGGCCACCTCTCGGGCCAGCAGCCAGTCCCCATCATAGATCTCGGGGCAGGGAACCCGGGCCAGCAGGCGGGCAAGCTCAGCGGCAGGCAGAGCGGGCACCAGGCTGCCATTGCCCAGGGCAGCCACGGGCACGGCGGTGCAGAAGGCGCAGAGGAAGCACTTGCCATCCAGCAGGGTGACGGCCACCCAGACGATGGGGGCGATGAGGGCCCGCTGCGCCATGGAGCAGAACATGTAGCGCAGGACGGCAGGGTCCTTGGCCCGGCGGCCCAGGGGCCGCTTCCACTCCTCGGCCAGCATGGACACGTTGTTGTTCAGGACCAGGCCGAGCAGGAAGAGCACGAGCGGCGGTGCCAGCAGGATGCCCACGCTGTAGGCCGCGTTGTAGCCCGGCAGGCAGGGACAGTTGAAGTCGAAGGCCGAGTACATCTGGGCGCTGGCCAGCGCCATGATGCCGCAGATGCCGTTCATGAAGGACTCCTGGTTGGACTGTAGGAACTGGAAGATCATCCGGAATTTGTCCATCGTGCCCTGTGCAGCCGGCGGCCTCCCCACCTCACCGCTGACTCCAAGGTGGTTCTGGTGGCCCCTGAGGCAGCTCCGTCATGGTGTGGGCCTCCTGGCTAGCAGTGGCTGGGCTCAGGCCAGTGGCCGAGCTCACAGTGGCTTTGGACACCTTCCAGTCAGGTGCAGCCAAGTGGGCGCGGCCTGGCCAATCCTCTGGGCCCAAGGGAGCCCAGTGGCCCTCCCTCCTGCCCTCCCCACACCCAGCTCTTCTCTCCGCAGCAGCTGCCAGTGGCCCTGGGGATGCAGGCAGCCACATCTGGGGAGGCTAGCTCTGTGGGTAGGTGAGAGAAGACCAGGTACAGGTATGGCCACAGGCAGCTCTGCAGAGCTGAAGTTGGAGCCCACAGCCATCGGGAAGCTTGTCACCCTCCACCACTCCCAGGACCCCTCCATACCACAGCACGGTGCTGTGGGGGTGGGAGGGTTGGGGGGTGGGTCAAGGCACCATGGCATAGAGTAAGAGGCCCTGGCTTTTGGAGCTCGAGGACTGGAATTTGGCAGAAGGTGTGGATGGGGCGTGCTAGCCTGTGAGGGTCAGGCAGGCACCTGAGCGCCTGGCTCACCTCTTTGGGGATGTCTACGTGCTGTGGTGGTAGATGGCAAACGCTTCCCTGACTCCATCTGACCTCTCTACTTCCCAGGCTCAAAATGCAAAGGGAGCGGCATGGGGTCTAGGGCCTGGTGCCTGGAGTGTCTACAGGGCCAGTGGGAAGATCCTGAGGGCTGGGCCTGAGCTGCCCTTTGGCTCCTGTGGCTCTCCCAGAAGGCCAGGGCAGGGAGGTGAGGCTGACACAGGGTGTCAGTGTGGGCCATAGACATGTCCCCCAGGTTTGTGCCAGCACTGAGCTTGCTGGCACTGTCTGTGTAGGCAGGTGTGTGGCCATGTCCCTGGCCTTTGTGTCCATTTGTCTTTATGTGGTTGGAAGAACCAGTTTGGTCCAGCTTCCCCAGTGTGGAACTCTGCCGGGCACTTAGCAGGCAGCGGGAGGCCTCACGCCCCCGCAGAGCACATGTGCCTGCATTCCAGAGGCTAGAACTGAGGCTCAGAGAGGTTAAGCTGTCGGCTCAGGGTTGCCTGGCTGTAAGCCCAGCTGGCCCTCCCCGGGGTAGGGGTGCAGGGTGGAAGCGGGCTGGGGGAATGGGTTTTTCTCTTTTTGGCTTCTCCTGTTCTGCTAGTCCAGGAGGAAGCGCTGTGTGTCACAGTAGAGTACAGGCCAGGGAGAATGTTGCTCTCCCTGGCCAGAAGGCAACCTGGGGTGCTGGCTGGTGCTGCCAGAAAGAGCCCTGTAGAGGCTCCCTGCAGGCACCCCTAGGTGTGCAGCAGGATGCGGAGGACCCAGTGAAGGAGGCAGATGTCCCTGGCCGTCTGCAGCAGTGTGGATGGGCCTGGGTGACTCGGGATCTGAGCTGCCGCCTGGGGCACAGGACCCCGGATGCAGGACGCCAAGGGTGGGTGGGCAGCTCAGGAAAGCGGGCGGGGGGAGGGGGTCTGTGTCCCTGCATAGGACCATCTCCCTCAGAGCAGTCTGCCCTCCTGGCGTCACGCGGTGGAAAGGTGCCTGCTTTACCGCACAGGCAGCCCCTGCAAGCTGTAACTGAAGCCTGGTTTTTATCTTTTATTTGTATTTATTTTATTTATTTACTTATTTATTTTGTGGGACCAGGGATTGAACTCAGGCACTTACGCTTGCCAGGGAAGCGCTTATTTCACTGAGCCATCTCCCTGGTCCCTATCTTTTATTTTTTTGAGACAGTCTTACTGTGCCGTCGAGGCTGGCCTTGGACCACTACGTAGCCCAAGCTGGCCTCGATTTTCGGGGTTCTCCTGCCTTGGTTTCTGAAGTGCTGGAATTACAGGATTGGGCCGCCCTGCCAGGCCTGAGGGTTGCTTGATTCCTTCACCTGACCGCTCCTTAGGCTCTGAATGCAGCAGTTACACCGTGAGGACTGTGGCTGTCACAGAGAGTGAAGGATGAGGGTTATAGTCTTTAGACGTCAGAACTATTGCCAAGGTTTGGATGGTTGTAAAAATGGTTTTACATTTCTCCCCTACTTGAGCGAGAGTTTTTGTTTTGCTTTTTTTGTTTGTTTATTTGTTTTGGTGGGGAGTAATGTCCAGCAGCCATGTGAATTATCACTAAAGAGATCTGACCAGGACATACCGGTCGTCATTTCCTGCACATTAAAAAGTTGTGCTATGCCTGTAATCCCAGGTACTCAGGAGGCAGAGGCAGCAGGATTGTAAATTAGAGACCAGCCCAGGCAATTTAGAAAGACTATGTCTCAAGCTAGAAAAAGAAAAAACTTTAAAAAGTAGGGCATGTAGCTTAGTGGTAGAATTCCTCTGGGTTTGTTTCCTAGTACAAAAAAAAAAAAAAAAAAAAAAATCAACTAAATGAAAACAATTGTGCTCACCAAAGCAACCTTAAGTTTCTCATTTTGAGAAGTTTAGATTTCATTCTCTTTTTGTTTGTTTGTTTGTGGTATTGGAAAGCAAACACAGGCTCTTGCTAAGTTGACTACCTGGGATTTGAACTTGAACCTTCCATCCCTGTCTCCCGAAGTGCTGGGATTCCAGGCGAGCATCACCGTGCCTCGCCATTTGGATGTTTTATACAAACTCAGTATTTAATATCTTTCCTATTACCATGGATTTCCTTTTTCTTATAATTATATAGGATAAAGAAAATGCAATTGCTTGGTTTCTTTTCCTTCTTCCTTCTTTCTTCTTTTTGGTGGAACCGGGGTTTGAACCCAGACTCTTGCATTTGCCAGGCAAGCGCTTATTCTACTGTGCCATCTCCCGGCCCTTCCATGTGGATGATTTCTAAGCCCCTCAGTCGTGAGTGTCACACACCTCTGTGGTCCTTGCTTTCAGGTCCAATGATGTGAAGGACATCAGGAACCCCTGCCTTTGAAGGTGAGCAATGGGACCCCAGAGGTGGGAATGGGGCAGGTGGGGCGGCCTCAGGAGCACAAGCTGAGGCCCAGAACTTCTTGTCCTCTCAGAGGGACACAAGGCTGCCTGGGAAGCTTCGGCTCAGTGCTCACGACAGCCCCTCCCAGGTTACATGCAGAACCCTGGCTGTAGAGGCAGTGGGAGGTGAGACCAGGGGGGCTGGGGTTCAGTGTGAAGGGCCAGGACTGAATTTCTAGGATCTCCAAAATGAGCAAGCAAACAAAGAAAGCCAGAGGGCTTTCTTGCCCTCTTCCACAGGGAAGGCGGATGAAGGCGGCCTCCTGGGACTGAGAAGAGGCCGCACCCTGAAGCCACTTCAGCTCCAGATCTGTAGGGAGTGAGCTTTAAGCTGCCTGGCCTGTGGGCTTCGTCCTGGTGGTCCATGTGCGACAGGATGCTCCCGTGCATCCCTGGCATACAGCCCTTGCCCGGAAGGCCGCTCCTTTCCTCCATGAAGGCCTCCTCTGGTGTGCCAGAGGCCTTGCCCAAACACCCATTTTTCTTCTTTTCTTCCCCCACCGAACAATCCAGTTTTTCTCTCAAGAGCAGCCTAGGTAGTGATCAGGGTGAAGCCTGAACTATGCCCCATGCTGGCCTGGGACCTGGAGCCTGTCACACAGCCTTTGAGTGCCTCAGCCTTGCCTCATTGGGCTACAGTCATGGCACCTCACGGGGTGAAGGGGTGAAGCGGTGACATCACGGTGCGAGGCGCAGTGAGCCCCAGCATAGGACAGAGTGCTGTGACAGTGACAGCGGTACGGCGAGCTTCCATGTGTGGAACATCTGTACTGGACCGTGCCGAGGGCCACGGAGACAGCTCCCACCTCACCTTCGGGAGATGCCCACTTTGCAGAGTGGGCATCAAAGGGCAGCGCATGCTGCCCACAGCGACGGGAAAGCATCAGAGCATGAGAGACGAGCTGCGCAGGGGGCTGGGGGCTACCAGCTTGTGTCCCAGCAGTGTGGGGACTTACTGTGGTGCTGTAGGCGGTGTCCAGGGCTTCCTACGTGCTGAACATGTGCTCTGCCTCACACACAGCCCCAGGCTTCGAGCTTCACCCCAGAGGACAGGGGCGACCCCTGTCTGCCACACACGAGCTGTGTAGGGGGTGCTGGGACGGATAGCTCTGCTGGCCGTGTCCTGTATACTGCATTAGTTCGGCTGACAGGGAATGCAACAATAAAGCCAGAGCACCAGTGGTCACTTCCAGAAGCCCTTCCCAGACCGTTCCTTGGTTTGGGAAATTTATATTTGTCATCCCATGAAAAAGTCACTGGAGTCCTAGTGAGTTAATTTCAATTCACCACTACCAGCATGATGCGTGGTGAGAATAAAGACACTAAGGCACATTTGTAGTTGTGGGGGGGCAAGGGGGGCTAATCTAGCTAGGGTGACAGCTAACCAGAACAAAGGCCTTGACTCGGGGCTGAAGAACCCAGGATCTATTCATTCATCAAGAAAGAAGTGGTGGGCCGGGGAGATGGCTCAGTGGAATAAGCACTTCCCCGGCAAGTGCAAGGGCCTGAGTTCAATCCCAGGTTCTGAAAAAGAGAGAGAGAGAGAGAGAGAGAGAGAGAGAGAGAGAGAGAGAGGTGGCTTGAGGGCCAGAGACTAGTTGTGGTGGGACATACGTGAGTGCCGTGAGCTGGGCCGGGTAGGAGGCCTGAGGTCACCTCTGCAGTGTACAGAAGGGTGTGCAGAACACCCACACGACCCGGTTCAAGGCAGCATCTACTGTTCTGGGCTTCAGCTGGGATGTGCAATTTTTTACATGTGCCCTGGGAAGTCCCAGCCTCTTATCTCGAGGCTCACCCCCTCCCACCACTCCCACGTGCTTCTTGGGTGTCATGGGATGGGGCAACCCTGCCCTGTCATCTTGCTTCAAAGACTGCATCAGCACTTGGCTGGGCTGATTTGCATAGCTTAAAGCCAGTTGATGGGACAAGGACAAAACTTAGCCAGCGGTGCATGTGTCAATACACACAAATAGGGCCAGGTTTAGCCAAAATGGAGACAACTGCTCTTCTTTCAAGGACAGCTGTCCAGGTGGTCCTACCCATCATTCAAGCCGCCATGAGGGGCATGTGGTGGTGGTGGTGGGAGGAGGCTCTGCTCCAGGAAGCCACCTGGGTGGGGTCCCAGCAGATAGGAGCTCCCTCTTATGTCCCCAGGAGCAGGGCCTGGGACAAGGTGGGCAGAACAGCTGTGCACATGGGTGATGGCCCCAGGAAGCCCTGGAAGGGACCAGAGTGACCAGCACAATGCCGAAAGCCCACCACAGTGAGGATTCCACACTTGTCAGGCCTCAGGCACCTAGAGCTCACCCCATGGGGACTGCTGGGGACCTCACTGCCCAAGTCATCCCTGCCTGTGTGTGGACAAAGTCACAGTCCTGAGCTCAACTCTTGAGGCTCCCCTGTGCCTGCAGACCTGGGAGAGTTAGGGCCGGGCTGCTGAGGTACACAGCACAGAGCCTTGTTTTCCCTGCAGAATCCCCATGGTGCATGGCTTGTGCCTACTGTTTCACACCCTTTGCCTTTTTTTTTTTTTTAATATATATATTTATTGAGAGAAAGAAAACTCCTGTCCGGGGGGGGGGGGGCGAGCAGGTAGTTCCCCTCCATCACACCCTTTGCTTATGTTTCTATGCCCACTGCTGGCCCCCTAATAGATGAGGAGGCCCTTATCAGCAGGGTAGGACACCTCTGATTTCTTTCTTCCTACTCTGTGGCAGGGTACTTTCTGGGCAGTAGGTGCTCTATGCATTCTCAGTAGAAGGCAAGTGTACTGATGGCAGTTGGCTTTTTCTTTCTTTCTTTCTTTCTTTTTTTTTTTTTTTTTGGTACTAGGAATCAAACTCAGGATCTTGCGCTTGCCAGGCAGGTGCTGTGCGGCTGAGCCATCTCCTGAGCCCCTGCAGTTGGCTCTTTAAGTCCCTGTGCTGCTTGCTTGGAGCCCGGGGCAGTGTGCCTGAGGCTCCTCACCCAGGCTGCAGCTGCCATCTCTCCACCCTCCTTCAATCCCTGCTGACAATTTGCCTACCTTGCCCTTCGCCCAGTGCCATTTCAGACATTTGCATGGCCTGACCACAGCTGGAAGGTGGGGACAGAGGGGATTTCTCCGGTCTCACTCTCACGAAGTCCCTTGGCAAGAGTCCAGGAGAGCAGAGATGGCCTGATAGAGGGGGCTGGCTCGAGGGGAGGCTCCCAGGGGCTCCCGCACTATCCCCAGGGCCCCAGGCGTTGGCAAGCCCCTGTGTGGCTGTGAGCTGATGGAGAGGGATGGGGGCAAGTCATGGGGAGGGGCCGAGGCCCAGAGTCACCGCCCAGCTCCGCTGAGCTCTGTGTTGCACTGCCAGACGCAGAGCAGCAGATTTCCCAGCAGGGGGGCTGGAGAGATGGCTCAGTGGTCTAAAGCACCTACTAGAACAAGCTTAGCAAAAGCATCAGGGACCGCGGTTCAATCCCCCAGCACCACATGCCAGCCAGCCCTGCCCCCTGGTGGGCTGAGCTGGCCACACAC